GCTGTACTGTAGCATAATCAGCGTGCAATAACGTCCGGAGCTTGCGTGCATGTGTATATGCGCGTGGAGCCCAACAGACGCATGACTATTGCGGGGGGTTGTTCTCTCTCTCTATTCGGCCTAGCGATCATCTCTGATGTATGCCATATATGTACGAACAAGACTGCGATGCGACGAGAGCTAATGATCATTGTTGAACTCGACGTCATTCATTGCGCCTTCTCTCGCAGTTTGCTTGACTCGAACAATTTTAAAATTATAAGGAAATAATACTTTTGTTATGAATGTTTTTTGCATTTTAAAAGAAAATAGCTCGATGTGATTCCTTTGTTAGTTTATGCAATTTTTCAAATTTGCTGATAGGCAAAATTCATTTTTGAAAATTAGTTCAAACATGAGTAGTAGGTATATGATGTTATCTAATTAATATCAAATCATGAGTAGAAATGAAATTTGAGGGCTTTACCCAGTACAGTGTACGGCCCGAACGTTAAACCGTAAATTTATCCTCAAGGCATCACTATAGCGTTAGCTGTGCTGTATTCTATATCATACATCACGAATGTACGCATAACATTTTCTACGCTGCAGATAATCCTTGCATATATATCCATCAAATATTCAATGGCAAAAGCATATAACGAAGAGAGAGATAGAAAGAGGGAGAACATATCCCCAACACCGACATATATCTCTGCTGTAACAAGCTTAACGATCGAGCCGAACTCAAGCTCTGTGTGCTACAGGCCGGGGTAACGCGACTATGCATGGCCAAGATACACCTCGGCGCGCATCCGCATACACATCTCCTGCGGCTCAAAGTCCAGTCAGTGCAACGGCAACAACCTTGGACTTCTTAAGGGACGAAAACATGTAGACGTACACAAACGGGCGCGAGCTTGCGAGCTTTATACCGTCAGATATGAATCGAAAGCCGCTTTGAGACTCTCTCTCTCGCCCTCTCTACATGTTTCATACCTTTTGCCGGAACATTTCAATTTGAATTTTAGATATAAGCGCGAGCCCGTGTGTGCAGTGTGTATCAGGGCTATACTTCGTCGATGGTATACATATCGAGGCTGCGGCCGAGAGAAAGCTCCACGAGATTATGTCGTTGCTGCTGCTGCTCGCACACCGTGGAGCCCCTTGGATTGACGCGGCCGGATACGTGTGTATACACAAGCGCAGGAGGATATAAACCGTTCTTGTTCTTCTTCTTCTTCTTGCTCGGATGTATGCGGCTTGTACATATACGCAAAAGCTCTATATTCGGTTTTCGGATCGGGGAATGTTTTCGTATACCCGAGTCACCTGGGCTCGTGCGCGCTAAGAGTTTTACGGGATATATATTGGCAAACACCTTTACCTGCGCATGTCATAAATATATCCGCCAGCCGTAACGCGCGGCTACAAGCCGTGTAGATGGAAGATTGATTATTTTTCGAGATAACGTTGTTGCGAGGTTTTAAAATATTTTTCATCTCGTTGCATTTATCGTGAAATTCGCTAATGAAGATATTGTGGCATACCTGATAATTTCGTGAATGTCATATTATTAGGATATTTCTATGTAACCTCTAAAAAATCTAATTTAATTTAAACAATTTTATTAAAAACAAGTTAAAGTGATCGATCATTCATTGTTACGATTCATCGATGTATAATTTAATTTTACGTTATAAATATTTTTTCCGATAAATAAAATTTTTCTCTTGGACCCGTTTCTTATTTTACGCATAGTGTTATCCTGATATTTTTATGGCCATCAAAATTTATAAATATAGTAATTTTTCATACAAATATCTATGTTACAAAATAAATTTTAATTATAAAATTAATATTATTTAACAAACTGTAATAAAAAATTTGGCAAAATAATCATTCAACCAGTGAAATTACAAATGAAGTTTTTATTAATCTACTTACGCTATATTAAGTCTGTTTATGAAGAGTGTAAATTCGAATAAAATAGAAAATTGAGAATGATTGGGATGTCCAGGAAAGTGAAAGAAAATGATTTTGAAAAACAAAATATCTGATGCCTCAATACTCGTACCTTGTGCCCACTCTGCAGACTTTCTCTGAAAAGGAATGAGAAAAAGAGATTTATTGATAGATAGAATAGATAGAAAAAATAGAAATGATTATTTGAATAAAATAGTACAAATATTCATTATTAAAAATTATTTTTTCGGCATGAATAAGTGTAGTAGTAGTAGAAGTAGTAGTAGTAGTAGTAGTAGTAGTAGTAGTAGTCATAGTACTGAGGAATAATAGTAATGAGTAAGTAGTAGTAATGGTCCATGCGTTCTAATGTGTAAAATTGTTTCATGATATTTAACTTCATGATAAAAGATTTTCAACTGAATATTTATTTTAAAGATTAATAACCATATTTGGAACGGACAGACGAGAAATTTAAATTGATCTCGGCTAAAGTATCTCAAATTGAAATTACTTATTTTAAACCGATGTGGTACATTTATCGATGCTGTCGAATTAATAAGGTAAAATTTAGTACTAACCTACTTCGAAGCCTATTTTGAATAACACATAATTGTATAGTCTAATGGGGATATTGACGGTAATCAGTGTGGTCATGAATGCTGTTATCTATCGTTCCACGTGGTTACAATGCAACTGAAGATACTTCATAATAATTAGCATTTATGCTGTTACAATTAGCATGTGCTCATATGATTAGAAGAGTTATGCAAATTTATTACGCTTCATATTTTAATTATCTTATTGCATCGAAATATGTTTGAACTGTACTTTATTTGCCAAGATGTTCTGTTGATCGACCATGAGCTAGAAAAACACTTGTTCATTCACGCAGGCCGTCTAGATACTATCAATCATTTTATTATGCGATCATGATCATGCTCAATGGTCAAGAAAACAAATATTTGTTTGAGGAACGCATCAACAACAAAAATCATCCATTCATTAAAAAAAATTGAGAGTTAGGAATATTCAGCGTAATATTTAAATTTTCAAATCAATCCGTTGATTTCCTGCGGCATAGCTTGCCCACCTACGCGTCTGTTTACCTATCAATAATGTATCGTCAAATCCGATAAAGCCCTCGTAGCGATATAATAACGCGCTGAGCAACAAACAGGCGTGCGCGCGCGAACCCATATACGCTGCTGCTGCTATACGCGCATTAACCATATAGGTACGGCACAAGCGCATCGGAGCTTGCACGTATACTCGCGCTGCCGTAAGCGCGTGCACAATAAGGTTGTAAGCCGTGGGCGCGATCGAGCGTCAAACACGGCTAAATTTCGTTGCGGCTAGAGCATCACGCACGAAAGAAGACGGGCATTGAGCCAATTAATTTAAGATCCACATGCAAATGCACACCCACGCATATATAGGCTGTATCTAGGCACACACGCACAGGCAGCGCCTCGTACGTGCGTACACGATTTCAGCGTATGCTCGATGATATACATTGAATAAAGTGTAAATACCATCATTAATGCCAGCATTTGATTATTCATGAAAATGAGTACGCATGCACCATCCACAACTAACACGTAGAGATGTTATATATATTTTTTTAAGTACCATTAGTCTGGGAACGAATGCGAAAAAAGAGTTCTGAGTAATGTATGTTCTCGAATGGGCATACGCGTCTTTGTGGCGCTTCGATCATCCCCGTATACGCTGTTAAGAGGCCTTAATCTCTTCGACTTGTGCACATCACACATGTATACGAGCATGTGTGGGTGTGTGTGTAAATAGACGCTCGTGAACGTTAAAGCCTTTTTCTCCCACTGTCGCGAGAAAAGGGCTTCGCTCTACTCGTGAGCTATAGCGAAAGCCCTTCATGCTTTCCAAACCTATATTGATTCTATCATTTTATACCCTTGTCAAATACTTGCTATAGAGCTTTGGCACCCCCGATCTACGTTAAATATTATCAAATGCCGAAATTCACGATGTTGATGTTTTCATTTTTTTCAATGTAACAATATTGTATTTACAATCTAAACGGTTTGATTTTATCTGTCATTGCGATTGTAATTATATTCATTTTAACGATTAACTTGTAAACATTAGCATCGGTTTTTATTCAAGCGTTTGAATTCTATCAATCCTCTTTTTCTGTCACCTCTGTTTCTTTATCTCTTTTTCTTTTTGAAACAACCGAGGCGCAAATTCCACTTGATCCGGGACGAAATATCCAAAAGTCACGAGTGTGTTTTCTCACCCTCTCTATCTGAAGCACTTGAGAGCTTTATCAATACCTACTGTTCAACTCGGCGAAAAACTACACGAACGTGACTCTTTTTGTTCTGCTCTGTTTATTTCAGGCCGCTTTAACACGCATTGTTACATAAAAGGTTTACAATAATATTAGTAATAGATTATAATCAACAACTGAATTAAAACTATGTTAACATATATTGAAAATAGACCAGTTGATTCATTTTCTAATCGTAAAGTTCTGTATTCATTGTGTGAATTACCGAAATTAGCTAAAAGTTCCGCAAACAACTGCATCTCTTATTTACATTCATCAAATAAATGTTATTTACATTCATCAAATTGGAAACTGTGGTTATACTCTTAGATGTCTCATGTCTACTGCGACCGAACCGATTGATTTGCTGCATTAATGAAAAACTCACGAATACGTATAAGATATAATTTGAACCCTTCACAAAAACAAAACATACTTTTTGATTGTATACTTTAAAAAGTTATAAAAATATGATAAAATATTTTCTTCTATATTTTTTTCTTTGCAGCATGATATACATGAAAAAGCAACTATTTTTGTTTGGTTAGCTTACACATGAAAGTGACTTTCTATGAATAATGTTTATGTCACGGATACTTTACTTTACACAGATGGTTTGATCTGGTTATAGTACAACACTTGTGCGAGTAAATATTTTTTGAACAATTGTTAGGATGCCTTGAATGGACATGTGCCTTTTAACGTCAGCAAATACTTTTTTGCTATATAAGTAGATCATTTTATTCCAATCGGCACAGTAACTCAGCGAACTAATTGAAGAGTGAACTAACTTAAAGAAAACAACAATGGCTTTCAAAACCGTTTTTTTCCTACTCGCATGCAGTAGCTTTGTTTTTGTAAGTTAAAAAAATTAGATATCGATATCATAAGTATCTAAACAAATTTGATTTGTTTAAAAATTTTATTTGCCGTGGCAGGGTTTCAATGTTGATGCAAGAGACAAAAGACAGGCGGATGCTGGAGGGGTAAGACATGTTATGCATTTCAATATTTACTGCTTTAAAGATAATATTACACATATGTCAAGCAAAAATAAAATTTTTTATTTTAAAGTATTGAATATTATTATTTTTTTAATTTAAAAAAATTAGCGTAGTGAATTTTATGTTAAAAAAATACCTTTCTCTAATTATCTGAATTTCAGCTTATGGGTCAATTTACAAATGGTTTTGGTGGAGTTGGTAAAACTTTTGATTATGGACGAAATGCCATTGTCGATGGTTGGGATTCTATAAAAGATTTGGGACATAAAGGAATCGAAACTCAAGCTACTTTACAAAAATCTGGATTCGATCTTGGTACTATCGTTCCTCAGTTCGGAAGAAATGTTATTGCTAATAATTAAAATAGATGTTATACTAATTTTTCTGGAAGTTAAATAAAATGTAATTAAATTCTACTGTACACCTTGAGTTTTGATCTCAAAATATCTATAGTTTTTCAGTGAAAAAGTTTTATCATTTCAGATACAGCTTTACCCGAGGCATCTTAGTGCTAACTCACAAAAATACGTCAAAATTATACAAAGGATATTTTGAGAATAATTAGTGCAACGTAAAGTTTTCTTTTTAATGTAAATGAAATATTATTCTGAATCAAAAATAAAATAAATTTAAAAAGCTCATAAATCTTTAGTTTTTTATCTACTTTTAAAAATTTAGTTTATTTCCATGTCAGCGTAAATTATTTTACAAATGTTTATTGGTTCCTTATTATTTGTGAATGCTTGCGTGATTGTCGTAAACCGGCATCTCATCCGGGAAGCTCCATTCATTTCAAAACTCACAAAATGTTAGGAGCTGAAGTAAGTTCGTCCCAAAAAAATCTAGAGCCATCGAAGAATATATCATTCACAGGCAAAAGTATGATAACATTTTTATGTATACTACAATCTTGATCTATATGTAAATCTTCGAGGTACACAAAAATATATGTCAGTGTATGAATACTTAAAAATAGACCCACGAAAAAAAAATGTTTCGATTGCACTATGATTTCTTTCCTCTAATGTATATTTGCATATCGCAAGTGAAAAATGCTGTGTTGGCAGAACTACCGTAGCATTAATAATAGTTTATGCTTTTATCACTTTAATACAATTGAGATTTACCATTAGTTTATTTTTCATACGAAATTTATATTTTCAATGTAAATAACGAAACAACTCATTTTTTTATATAATAACGTATTTGTTACTAGAAAATACCATATAAACGTTTTCATAATTTGTGCAACGAGTATTTCGAATACCAATTTCACCGAAGTAGGATGTAGCATTTAGTATTTAATTATCTGCTGAATGTTCTATGTGTTAAGGCACTTCGTGCATCCATTTCCCATGCATATGAGACATTTATTCAACAAATAAGATAGTTCAACAGTTTCCTTATTATTTTAAAATGGAAAGGCCTTCGTTTAATAAATACAACGAATAAAATTATAACTAAAAGTGAAAGTGCAAAAAAATTATCATGTACAATTTAATATGATTTATTTTCTAGTAATGATATAAAGTCATACTTCGAATAATTATTGACATATTTATCAATGAATTTTTTTAAAATGCAGTCATTTGAATATGACGAGTTCCAACATTTTTTTATACGTAGGTACAAGTCAATTTCACTGAAGTGTATCATTTTTTCTGTCCTGGAATGGTTATCAAAAGTAGTTTAAAAATAAAAATGGGTTGTTTACAATATATCCCTAACTTAAGCAAGCATCAAGTACTGACAGCCAGAGACACGCTAAAACGTTACTTGAGTTGCACGAATCAAAATCCTCGATTCACATCTTTTCACTATAGCATTTCATATGATTTAATAAAGACTGAATACGCCTTACTATAGAGGATCATTGACAATAGTCAAAATTTGTGTAAATCAAATATTTTTAATTTCAAGGTACTTTAAAATTTGATGTTCCCATGAGTTTCTGGGTGTGTGAGTATTCTACTTGGGAATAGAATTTTTGCAGATCATTAAAAATGATTATTTTTCTTCGAAATTTTTCATCTTTCACATTGTGCATCAAATGAAATTTTATTGCACAAACAAAATAAAGAAAATAAGTAGATTTAAACTTTGAATTAAACGAAAACATTATTTCACGATAATTTATACGAACTAAATGACCTGCGGCAAGAAGTGTTCATCTGAATGTCTCTGAAAAGATAAAACAAGCAAATGCGTTTGAAAATACTCGGTTTACCTGAAATAATGACTTTGTACAATGAAATGCGCCTTTGCAGTTCTATGTCTCTCTATGGCAAGAAATGAGGCTTTTTTTTATTTGATACTTTCAACCGTTTTATATGTAGTTTGATATTACTTTTAATCAAATTAATTTCTCTAGATATAGAATTTTCTCATTTATGCCATCGCTAATACCTTTCAGCAATGCAATATTAATGTTCCTGTGGCATAAAAAGCTTTCTTATTTATAATTCACACCGTAAAAGAACACAAATAATCTCCAAATAAAATTAGAGTTATAGGGATTTTCAAAATTAATTTTATTATATTTTTTTCATGTAAAAGCAGTAGATGATTGATGTGTACAAAATTATTAATAATGTTATTTCACTATTTTTTAATAATGTCAATTTAAATTTTCGGATGAGAGGTAAAGTATAGTAGGATAATAAAGAAAATTTTCGATTAAAAATGCTTGTATATGCACCACTATTCGTAAGAAAAAATATACTAAAAAATACCTCAAGTTTTTCTGTATTATTATGGAATCATTATAAATAATCACGATTTGTCTTACCCATTCATTCTCATTGTGCATATTACTTGAAGGCGCTAATGTCACTTTTTATCATTTCACTATTTCAAGTACTTTAGTTTCACTCGTGTATGTCAAAAATATCCTTTGTAAATTTCACACATCGAATGACACAAATTAAATTGTTAATAAATTCATGATTGTTTGTCCAAACAATAAATAAATTGAAACTAAAAAAATAAAAACGATTCACCATAAATTAGTTTAAAAGAATGAATTTATCAACCTTTTCTTTTCACAGAATCCCACTGTAAAAATTTAATTTGACCATCAGATATACGTTTTCTTTACTAACACGTGGGTACACTTCTGTAATAGTATACATTGAATAAAGAATTTACTGCACAAAAAATAAACCGGTGATAGACCGCTAGCACAAAAACTTACAAACAAAATAACAATCAAGAGACATGATAAACAAAAGAACTAAAAAGAAACAACACTCGCGCACTTTCTGTACAGTTGTAAACACCATGTATTATTACTTGTTTTTTGTAAATAACTCTAATTTCATAGAAATAATTTGTCAATAAAAGCTCGTACTACGAGGTTATGCCAGATGTCAGTTGGTGGCCTAGCGAGTTGTGAGCTTTTTTTTCTGCTGGATAAAGTAATGGATTGAGAATAGAGAAAAATCAAAACGTTGAAACCATGTAATCACGAGTGGGTGGATTGTATTAACTAAATATTTAGACGAGGAAGAGAGAAAGAGATAGTTGCGTTACTTCACTGATCTGTTGGTAACTCTTTAGCGCTGCTTATCAATAATATACATATATTGAGTGCACATACAGCTAAGCTTCGATGGTGCATTTTGCACATTTCGCGACATCTAACGAGCTTTCCATGAAACTGCGCTTTGAAAAGTATCAAGGAACGCGTGTCGCTTTCCATCTGGCAAGTGTGTTAGGAACTATGTGATACCCTATTCTCATATGCTTACATCTCAACTTGATTTTGAAATTTTTATTCTGCTCTTTTCTGAGATAGATATAAACTATTGAGAATCAAAAATGCTTATAGATTTCTTGGAACAAATCCTACCGACGTGATTTACTTTTATTTCCAAACAAACTCTATTTCCAATAAAATAATATTAAAAAATCAAATCTAATTCGTTTGACCGTTATAATATCATATAGCTGAAGCTATCTAGACATTTAAGAAAGTAATGATAACTTGTACAAATCTTTTTTTGCATGCAATAAACATTTTTATGAAATGTTATTGTTATAAACGTCTCGAATTTTATCGAAACCGCCGCACAAGTAGAGTGAAAAGTACAATTTTTTATAAACAGTTATTAAGGGGATACAACTGTGTTGAACCTGGCAAATTTAAAAGTATAAAAATTAAATTTTTATTTATACAAATTTTTTTATTTTTTATGTAAAATTATGATTTTATAAGTCTTTTTGCATCAGAAAATACGTATCTAGTACATTTAATTTTTTAAATTAGTTCAAGACTCATTATAATGACTTAGAACTCTAAAGTCCTGTGCTGCAAGAATCTGAATGCACTTTTTGACCAATTTGGACCCATGGAGTCTCAAAAGCTTCGTAATAACATTTTCTTTCACCTAAGTAAAACAGATCTTTGATTCAATTATTCATTCAATCTATCCATCTAAAAAATTAACAATAAGCGTTAAAAAAAAAATATATTTTTAATATTTTTTTTATTTTACTAAGCAAAAAAAGTTCTCAACCTTTTCTTGAAATTCTACAATAAACTACTTCATCAACTACTTGTAAATTTTTTCTATACATGACTTTTTAAATTATTATTCAGTGTGAATAAACTCACCGTATGCTACCAAAGTACATTGAGAACATAAATTTATTGATATCATTATAATAATATACCTCAAAAAAAATTATGAACGAAATTCCCGCTGCAGAGCGCACGCACCTTCTTACATTCGCGCGTCTTATAGTCCTCTTCCATGCGCGATGTTCTCCTGTTCATATGAGACATGACGAGAGTCGTCCAGATGCATCCTAAAGATCAAAAACCCTTCGCCATCAGTATTCTCTCCTCTCCTTCGCGACGCTCATACTTCGCGAGAGAGAGTCAACTTTTTCGCATGATATAAGCTCCTGTTATCATGAGGAGAAGATGCGCGTTTCTACGCGCTTCTGATGAGTATGTGCGCAACATCAATAAATAGTGTGTGGAGGTGGACTTATTTGTATTATCTTTAAAGTTGTTTGAAACAGAATATTAGATCAATTTGCTTTTTATTTATTCATTTTAACTTAGCTGATTATGAATTATTAAAAAGTATTATTAATCATAAAGAAAATAAAATTTAACATTCTTTGCTTTGATATTAAAAGTTATTTGGAATGTCGAAATTCCAATGTATGATTCATATATATTAACATATTACAGTAACAAATTCTGTAGAGATAAGTTTTACTGAAATATTGATGTATTGAATTCAAGATTTTTATTGATATTATTATAAAATGATTGTATGTTTATCGGTACTCAATACATTATTTATAAAACATTTATTCAATTATTTTTGATGATTAAAAAAAAAGCCATTTTCATATCACGTCGCATTGTAGTCGATACTCAGATTATATTCTTTTGACTATTATGTTCCGCAGGGTAATAAGGCTTCAAGATTACTTCAAGAATATTCATGTTACCCTTGTAGAACAGGACGAATTCGTTCAAACCTGATGAAGCGTGGCTTATTTATAATGATTTCCCTCTGCACTCGTGCCCTGACAAGATCAGGAGTTGGCGATGTGGGGAGTATGATACCCTAGTATCCCCGCCACTAAGTTTGGTACTAAATGGCTGCCTATTCAAAAGCTTCAGA